AGTTTATTTATTAAAGACTCAAAATATAATTATAAGCCATGGCATAAGAACAAGGCAAGTTGTGTGCAGAATACTCCTAATATAATTATAGCATTGCAAAACACCAAAGAGCAAAAATAAGATAAAAGACGGATGAAGAGTGAATATAAAATGAAAAAAGCCATCAAAGAACATCACAAGCACAAAATTTACAGATGGAATAACTTTTTAAAATGCAAACTTGTTTAGAAAATTTGATTATGAACCCGAACAAGGAGAGAGATGTTTTACTACTCAGATTAACCTAGGATGGAATTGCAAGATACAGACAACAATCGAGATACATTATAATTCATGAGTTCATAAGAAAAAAATTCATTTTACACTTTCACCATTCCTAAAGTACTAGGACTTATTTGAGAATAACTGCATTTGCTCAAAATTATGGGGTATTTAACTCTTTAATTAATTCTAGAAAATAAACGGAATAACTTCTTACGATTTTTCAAAATTTTCTACATAATAATTGCATTACCACTCATATGACATATATAAATAAAGGAAAATTTTGGAGAATAATCTAAAAATTTTATATAGAAAACGAGATAATCAATAAACATAAAGTGGGATGTTAAGTAAATAAAAGAGACTAGAAATAATAATGTACCTTGCCTTTAAGGAATACCCTTTTACTGAAACAAATGGGGCTCGCTAATATTTGAACAAAAATATATTCTTAGTCATTACAAATCACAAGAAAATCAATAAACGAACGAAAGTTAAAGGGCTAAATTGATAATTGGAAACTGATGTTAAATATTCAGAGATTCCTAAACTATTTAATTGTCTCTCAAGAATTTGAATTGCATTTATTTTTAATAAAACACAGTAATCAATAAAACAACATTATTTGAATAGGATTACAAAAGTATGAGAAAGACAAAGTTTCTATGATAATTTCCTATTTAAACAAGTGAGTTAATAGGAGAAGGGCTGATATGACAGTAAGCAACATAGCAGATGAACTTAAATTGAAATTGTAACAGCAGGAGTACTATTCTGTGAAGAGGAACTATACATTTAAAATATTTGAACATTGAAAGTCGTGTATAAAATAGTCATAAATAAATTTAGTCATTAATGCGGAGAAGAATTGAGCTATATTTCAAATGATGAAAAGGTTAAATTGAAGATAACAGCATATATAAAAAATAAGTCAACACACAAGAAAAAATTTAATAATAATAAGAAGGTATTCCAAATCTGGTATCACCATTGAGGATTTGAAAGAGATACCACTAAAATTGGAACAGATTCCAGGTTAATATAAAAACATTCCAACAAGCAGAAATAATTCACATTTTAGGAAATTCAATATATATATCATGAGATTCATTAAAATATACTCTCCAACAATCATCAAATGATTCCAAAAAAAAAGTATAATATTCACAAAACCTCAATCTAAAATCAGCCTAAAGAAACTATACAAAAAAAGGAAAACAAGACATGAAAATAACTAAAAAATAAAATTAGAACTAGCAAGTCAAGAAGAAGAAATTTGAACACATTGAATATCATTATTTAAGCATAAACAGATAATATAATAGTTGAATAAGCATGAAATTATTTAAGGAATCTGTCTAAAGATTAGACAAAAATCTACTAGTTGATATTAAATTGTGTCTATTTGAAAAGTTTTTTAATGATTATCAATATGAGGTAGAAAGAGAAACAGATATAACGAATGACTTGGGCAATTTTTATTGATTTTTCATTTCATTTGTGCAAAAAATTTAGATTCGCTAGACACAAGGAGTCCAGCTGGGACATGC